CGATTCAAGAACCACGCGCGGCAGGGACGGGCAAAGTGGAGAGTGAAATTAGCAGTTTTGACATGGCATATCGGTGATGGCATGTTTGTTTGTGTTAGCGAGAACTTCTCATACTGGAGTTCTATGCATTATTTTATTTTCTAGTGAAGTTACAACCCTCATAAAGTGCTGTCGCATTCAGCATGAACGAAGTTGCACTCTTTTGAAAGCGTGCCTTTGGTGGATGCTCCAGCATCATACTTCCAACAGTTCGACTGAAGGGAATACGTAAGAATAGCATCCTGCGCTCTGTCCAGTGCGCTGTTTTTAATCAGGCGACGAAAGGCAGAGTTTTAGCTATGAATAACCCAAAACTCGTCACCTTTTCGCAAATTGTTTCAGTTGGGCTAGAGTTTATTCATAGCCCCTTTAAAATTGAAAATTCAACATGGTCAGTTACACTGCCAATTAAAGAAGCTAATTAGACAAAAGTACTGTGACGTTTATTTACTCATCTAATGTCCACCGAGCCCCACAAATATTTTGTGAAAACGGCATCGGCCTATCTATCGCGTTTTTAGTGTGTTGATGTTAAAAATCGCACTATATATCTATATATATACCCGTTATTATAATTTGAGTACACCGACTGCAAGCACTGAAAGTAGACCTTTAGTATACTTCAGTGCACTTTCGGTATACTGATTTTGAACTACTTTTTACCGTGGGCACTACGATTCTACTACATGTACTAGTTTTGTACGGACGAGTATACTTTCAGTCCACCGCCATTTTTACTGGAAGTATACTTTAAGTACACTTAAAGTATACAATCAGTACAACGACCGCACTGAAAGTATACTTTTAGTATACTTCAGTACACTTCAAGTGTACTGATTTTGAACGACTTTTCGCTAAGGGAGGCTCCAGTTGGTGCGTAGGACAGACACGGATCGTACACCTGGTGGATTGCGAAAGACCGCATGAGACAATAGTCGGGTCAGTGTTGCTGTTCGTGTCGGATATGCGGTGGCGGCGACTAAGTTATTGTTATACAACAACCGACAGGATTCCTCTTCAAGATGCAGCTAATATGAATGCGAAAAAAAGAAATGGTTGGATTTGATTAGAATGCAATTAAATGCAAAGGTGCAAGCGAGCTGGACAACGATGACGAAAATGGTTGGCTTTTGTCTGCGTTTATGAAACGCTTGGCTTGAGCATTTTGAATTTCTTGGCATTCGCGGAAGTAGGTTTGAAAGGCGACCCAGATTTGGTACGGCAGCGGTCGAAGCTGCTCTGGCGAAGCCACAGTCAGAAGGGGAAATTTAGGCAATTTATAAGTTTCTTTGCATTCGCGGAAGTAAAATTGAACAGGCGACCCAGCTTCCGTGCGACAGCGGCCAAAGCTGGTCTGGCGAAGCCGCGGTTAGACGGGGAAATTTAGGCAATTCATCTCTTTGACAAATCGTGGCTCGACCTGTTGTGAGTCTCGGTGGCCCCCCCAGGCGTGGCTCGAAGCCCACATCTCTCGTTTCTTGCTTCTCGGAGGAAACGGTGGGAGAAGGAAACGAAAAGGACCGCTTTGTTTCCGCTTCCACAAATCTGCGCAACGCACTACTGCAGTTAGAATGAAACCACTCCCTTAAACAAAAACACATATCAAAAAAGTATACCCTTTAGTCGGCATAAGTATAGTCCCTCTATAAAACCTATCAGCTTCCTTAACTGTAAGTCACCAATAACCAAGTGCCTCACAGGCCACACGCAATAACCACTTAGCTGCACTTACCTGGTTGTCAGTGTAATTTGTTTTGCAATGTCTTAACGTATATACTACGTCTTGCAATTCCATCGAATATACATGCAACTATTTTCCTTGAGCATGGATCTCTCTGCCTCACTCTCACCACCGGATGATGATTGCAGCCATAGTTCGTTGCTTTGAGCGGCTAAACCTATTGTTCTCAAGTTGCCAGTTCAGGCACAACCTTTCACTCCCACTAAACAGTCCGGGTGGGCTGTTTTCTTAATAGTGATGTTAGAGAAAAACACCCTATCGATTGCACCTTTTAATTCGGGCGAACTCGGTAATCTCTGGAACACCGATAAAGTTACGATGAAAAGTATATATTTTTTTGAGCTGTAGCCCGCGGACTATACATGTTTGAAAAATCATGAAATTTTACGCGGTGCGGACTATCGTTCACACGAGACCACGCAAGTCTCTCTTTTTTTAAAAAATTTGTTTATTGATGCGAGACGTGACGGGCTTCGAAAATGACACAAGTATGTTAATTTTTTTTTTTTTTTTTCTTTGGCATATTGGCGGCGTGAGGTGCGAGATACTCGGTAGTCACCTCCGTTCTGTTTCTTTTCTCTCGGCCTTTCGGGCGCGTGGAGGAGAGGTGGATCGGCTTCGCCTTGACGTTGAGGTGGAAAGAGCGAGTGCCCGAGATGGTCATTCCGGAAGGACCCGTGACGTCGTGGACTTTGCGCGCAGAATTTTGGATAAACCTCTCGCCGTCAATATTGCTCCAATTTTTTTTTTCGCATAGAATTAATTTTGTGAGATGCGTGTTTTAATCGAACTGTTAAAAAAAAAAAAAAAAAGACATTTTTTTAGGGCTTTTTAAAGAAACACTTTGGCGACTTTTTTTTTTTTACCTACCTTAGGAAACTGTATTTTCAGAATCAGCGGCCTTTACCCTTTTCGGTACGCTATTTAGTATTGCGAAATTGATAATAGTTGTTGAGAGATTGGCAATTGAAAATGATGCCGAAATCAAGCATTTCAATACCCGCGCTTTTCGGTGCCGTGACGTCAGGGAAGGCAGGCTTGCAGGGCGATCGGGCAGTCCGAAACTTGACTATGCCGAGCATTTGTTCCGTGCTGCTGCGCGAGCGCTGCAGCGAACTTCTAAAGCTAGAACTCTTAATCTAGAACTAATTTGGACACCTTAAAGGTTAACTGCAAATAAAAAAAGTGTATTTTTTAACAGCCTATTTGGGACAAACATGTCACAAAACACTTTTTTCGCCAAAACCAAAAGTTTTTACAGCAATGTTTATTGCGCCAGACTGATTTTAGTTTGCGGCTATTTCGTCCGTTTTAAATCGCGCGCCACAAAGCTGGTATTATACGTCACGGAGTGGCTGCTGTACGTCACGGAGTGACGTATAACAGCCACTCCGCGCGCGTCGAAAGAGCGGGAGTTTCAAATGTAGAGAAGTTGTGACCCCGACTAAATTACGTCCTGTGGCGTAAATATTGCTACAAAATATTTGTTTTTTTGGCGGAAGATTTGTTTTATGACATGCTTGTCCAAATTAGGCTGTTTAAAAAAGTACTTTTTTTTTCTTTGCAGTTACCCTTTAAAACTGCTTGTAATCAGTTGGAAACACCCTACAGTCCAAAGAGTAAAGCCCTGCCTTCTTCTGACGTCACTCTTTCATTGTTGCCAGTAGGGTCATCCCATGTCAAACAACCCAAGTGTTGCGCTCAACCATTTCTGATTTAAAAACAACACCAACAACAACATGGTTTCTTACTTTCGGGTCGTTAACCTTTTCCTGAAATACTTTCCCCGAAACACACACACACACACACACACACACACACACACACACACACACACACACACACACACACACACACACACACACACACACACACACACACACACACACACACACACACACACACACACACACACACACACACACACACACACACACACACACACACACGCACGCACGCACGCACGCACGCACGCACGCACGCACGCACGCACGCACGCTTTTTCTGCGTGAGCGTGGTTTGATTTTTGAAATGGGCATTAAACTAGGCATCATTCAATAACTTAGTAAAAATCAAATTTTCTTCGAAACGCTTCACAATTTATTTCATGTAATTCGAACGGCATTGAGCTTGCTACATTTTGATCATTATACAATTTTCATTGTTAAATAAAAAATACAACAAAATGCACCAAAATTGCCACTTTTCTCAAATTTTTGTTTTATTTTCGCTTTGCGCCTGAAAATTAACACTTGTTCTATTGGATCCCCTGTAGATAAAACACAAACTAAACAAAAAAATGTTTGAAGCCGTTCAACAAAACAAATTTTAAAAGTTGTGAAATCCGTATTGCTGCCTAAACAACCGTTTATTCTACCGTAAGGTACTCCAAATAAAAATTTAAAAAAGCTAATTTTGAAGAAGAGTGTATTACCTTTCATTTCGTAAAGTTTAATATTTTTTTTTTTCTAACGCGAGAAAATAAATATGGAGGTTGGGCTCCCGTGTCGCAACCCGGCATTGTTTCTCAGCACCTGTTCACCGCACAACACGCCACCTTTGACACGAGAGATGAGTATATCTTTGCGCGCACGCAAGGCGATCGCTGGTCCGTTTTCGCAGTGGGTTCTACGCATGCGCATGTTTGACTTGCGACTGCCTCGCGTGGCGCAGTCACTGTTTACAGCTAAAGGCGCAGCGCGGTTTGCTGCGTCCGCTTCCACCCGTCTTTCTTGTCGGCTGTAACGCAAACAGCAATGAAGTTTTCGTAGACCTTTTCTGCCGTCCCGCAACGCGCTCCGTCAGTCAGGCTAGAGGCTGTTCCATCGGTTTGAATTTTGAGGAAAGACGGGTCAAATAACTGGAAAGGAACATTCTCTTCCTCTTTTTCTTTCCTTTTCTTTTTCCCTCTTCTCTCTTTCCTCAGTATTAAATGTTTTCACCAGATGGAACAGCCTTCGAAGAAGGTGCTTACTTATATGAAAAGGACCTGTACTAAAGCAAAAGCTGTTAGTCAGCTGTTTTGTCCTATTCCGTCCTTCCTTTGCCCGTTTCTGTAAGTTGAAGCTGACCCTTCACCGAATGTTGCCCTCGCGGGCAATACACAGGGTGCGCACTATATGCAGTCTGGAAACTACGGTACTGCATGCTTTCTCTGCAGCAGCCCGCGCGGCGTTGGCTGCGCTTCTAACCTTGTCGCCGTTGTCTCCTCGTTGCGCAGTGGCTGGGGACATCCGGGCGCACCTGCAGTCCATGCTGTACATGCTCCGGCGGGAGGACACGCTCAAGATGGTGAGTGACGCTCGTTCCTTCCGGCTGCTCCCAAACCTCCCCCGCCGGCGTCACTCGATACCGCTGGGAACCGGATGGCGCTTCCTTCCGCTGCGCTCGGCTACGGGGTCCTCCGGGGGGGCGCCACGGTCTGACGCGCCGAGGAGCGCGCACGTGGTTCCTCTCCGTGGCCCATCGCCGCCCTGACGGTTGTTTGCGGTAACTGCCCTCTGCTGTGTCACCCGAGGTTAACGCACCAATTTAACCCTCTGCCATCACGACATAGTGTTGGATGCTGCCGTCGGCACTGCGCACGGGCATGATCACGCGCGAATTTAGAAATATCTGCGCACATGCAGTGCTCGCACCTGGTGCGAGCAAACGCGAGCTTGTTTGTAAGCGACGTGTCGGTGTATTAGCAAGTTTTCCTATACCGTTTTCTCTCTGCGCTACGCTACGCGCAGTTAAGACGCCTAACTGCGCTTTTGTGGTGCGTGTTCTCTGTCATAGACTAAACCAAACACGCCCGGTATAAATGCTCCATGATCCTGCGCTTGTATCCTGCGCGTGATTGGTTTAGCTCAGCGTGTTCAACGGGTCCTCACCGTGTTTTTCAAAGGGAAAGTCTCTACTGGCAACTATGAAAAAGTGACGTCAGGGGTTCAGTTTTTTGGACTGTCGATTTTCTTCGCAACTGATTGCAAGTAATTTTATGGTGTCAAACAGACAAATAAATGTATGCTTTGGAAGCTCGCTCCAGGCACCCGCGAAGCAGCACGAAAAACAGATGCTTGACATAGTCTGTACTGGTTGCTCGACTGGCAAGCCTGCCTTCCACAAACGTGCACGGCACTGAAATGCGCGGGTATATTCGAATGTTGGTTGGGGCATCATTTTCGCTTGCCGATTTCGCAATAACTATTTTGAATTTCGCGATACTACAATGGCCGGAAAGGGTAAAGGCTGCTGATTGCGAAAATAGGGTTAGTTGGAGGTAGCTCAAAAAATCGCCAGGTACCCCTTTAAAACCGGAGTAGGCGCAGTTAGGTCAGCTTTCACGTAACTTTGTCACGCCCTTTCTTTATCTTACCGGACGGATGCCGTGCAGTCGGCTCTAACAGGTTTCCGGGAACGCTAGACTAAATAGAGGAACGGGAGGAGCAGAGAAAACGGACAGCGACCGAACTAATTTGGGAGGAGAGAGCGGTCCCCGTACCTGAGCCGGCGGTATTCTTTTCTTTTTGTTCGAGCCCACGTCAAAAGGGTTTTAGTCTTGGCACGGTGACACCGGATCCGGGGTTGAGGTCCGTGGCTCCAACTGCAGTAGCGAGGGCTGGGCGATCTAGGGTTCCGCGCGTATACCGATGCCGTTCATTGACTGGAGGGTAGCTCTGTCGACGCTTCGTGCGCGGAACCGCCCATCTTGGCTCGCGCCTCTGGCAGTTAGCTCGGAGACAATATATCAGCGTGCTGCGTCGCACGTTTCATCGCCGGTGCTGACTGATCCAAGTGTGCGTGGTGACAACCGAATATTGTCACTCGTAGAGGTCGGTAGAATTTCCGTCCGGTATTTTCTCGGAGCATTGGTATAGCAGCAGGAGCCAAAACAACCGCCGGAGACGGTTTTTACGCTACTTGTGCCTTGCCTTTCCTTAGCGAGATTCCCCTCTGCGCTTCGCGTTTCCTCTGTTTTCTAGGACGTCGGTGCAGGCCATCTGTGTGTGTGTTTAGGTGGTTAAAAAAAGAAAAAAAAAATCCGAATCGGCGTGTCTAGATTTGTGACATGTAGATGCGGTGCGAGCCTTCTAGGCCAGAAAGCGTATCCGCTTGTAAAACGGGCACAATTTTCGAAGGAGGTCGTGCCGCACAGTAGCCGAGCCGGCGCACTTGCGTAAAAAAATGCATCTGTACCAACGTTCGCTTTGAACGCTTTCAAAAGACCGCTCATCAGCGCGAGCAGCGGGAAAAGTGACTTGTCTGTCAAGAACAGCAATTTTTACGGTGCGAAATGTATCGGGTGAAGTCTCGCTCTAAGCTCGCGTTCAACAGCAACGCATAGAACCGTGGCGACCGTCGAATGCGTAGAGCATTTTGCGCGCATTCCGCGTTTTCTTCGTCATCCGAAATGCCGCTGGCCCCGAATGCTTGGAAAACGTCGCGTCCACTCCCACCGTGTTCGGATGACCGTTGGCCCGATCATACGACGATTGTATATCCGTCAAGGCGGTGACCGTCTGCCTACTCGCACTCTTTCCCACAGCGCGCGGAAGTCCCGCGCGGAAGGACAACTTTCTTTTCCTTCGAGTTCCCTGACCCTTCCACTATTTTGTCCCCGCGTTTTCTTTCTTCTCCGTCGCTCCCGTCGCGGAAAGCGGCGGTCCGGGAAGACAACTCCTCGAGTCGTATCCTTCCTCCCGCCGTCCGAGATTGCGCCGTGCCCCGTTCAGCCCAAAAGCTGACAGTGCGGTGAAAGCTACGTGCCCGTTGGACCGATCATACGTCCATCCCTGGCTGTGTGAACACGGTCCCTCCCACTAGCAGAGAGCGGAGTCACGTGACTGAAGGGAGGCCGTTGATTGGTGCGGGAAACTCCCACCGCACTGTCGGCGCGGACCCGTAGGACCGCGGCACCCCGCTGGGACCCGGCAACGAATGCAACGGGCCGACGCTGTTCGGCGCGTCAACCTGAGCATCCGTTTTATCACCTTACGATGGACCGCAGCGGACGCTACGAGCCCTACGAAGCCGTGTCACGCGCCCTTCCGATTAGGCCGGGCGATGCGGGAAGCGCGGAGTCAGGTGACGCGCTCCAAACTACAGGATTGGATAGCTCGTAGCATCCGTCGCGGTCCATCGTAAGGTGAAAGGGAGTGCAGTGACAGAGCGGGTAGCAAGGCGGCGGGGCGCACACCAACCACACGCTGCGTCACTTTTCGAAGGGGGCGTCCGATCTTCCGAGACTCCGAGGTCTGCCCGGTGACATTTGGGGCTCCCGTCCCGTTAGCGGAGCTGTCGCGGTTCTGCGCACATCGTTGTCGCTTCGTTCGGGGCCTGTGCACCGCCCGATTATGTTGAGCCGGACGTGAGGGTTCGCGACCTGCCGTTGCTCTTGCTTTTAGGCTGCCGTTCCCCTGCTACTGACTGTACGTCGCAGAAATGATCCCGGTATGAGCGTACTGACTGATGCACGGGGTATAACTTTCCTGCGCCGGTTCTCTCTCGTTGTGCCAGCTACGTGATGTGGTTCGTCTGTGAAAAAACGCTTCGATAATTCGGGATCCCGTGCTGTCCGAATGTGCCACACTCTTTCCATTTTCGGTTTCTCCGTCTTAATTTTGCCGTTACTCGCATTCTGTAAAACTCGCCATATTCGTTTTTCTGGCACTTATTGGGGGGGCCACCTATTTTCAGTTGAACACTCGCCTTGGTGTCATGTAACTTATTTTCCTATAGAATCTGTATCTTATTATGATTATTATTATTTTTTTCTTTCTCAGCCCCGATTTCTGCGGGATTTCCAGGGAAGTGTGATTGTACGCGCTCGGTTTGAGCGAGCCAGCGATAGCGGTGCGCACGACTGCTGAGCGCGTGCTGATGGCAAGCTTCCGCAGTTCCTTCGCAACGTGCATTCCACACCATCGAGATCGACGGTTTTAGCAGCCTATTCATGTGAGCTCGTTCTGAGCATGCGCTCTGAACAGCGCCCTCAAATATGGCGTCCAGTGAACACCCCCTGTAATATTTCCATATACGCGCTCGCCGAACGCGTTGCTTTTCTCGAGCACGCGATGTTACAAGCGGCACCTTACTACGCATAACATGACGGCATGTATACGCCTCTGTGCCAAGGCTATGCACGCCTGCCCGCCCGCGTTTCGCGACCGCCAATTTCTCGGCGAGTTGGAGCGCGCGAGATGCCTTCCGCTGCCAAACATCGCGAAGGCCAGTTCCACGCTCCGTTAAGACAACGGGAATCGCGCAACTCCGGAAGCGAGTCCCAGCTCTCCCGCGTGCTCGTTGTCGCAACCCGCTGCTAAACAATAACAAAAAAGTACCAAAAATAAAAACGACAGCTTTTTTTTTGCGGGGCAGTCCGGCTTGTGCGCTGGCGCCGTGACTTTTAAAGTCAGCGGAGAGTGACTTGCGGGGGACTGTATACCGCCTCGCTCTGAAAAAAAGAATAAAGCGCGGCTTTGGTCGACCAGCGGTGCGTGGCCGGGGTTCTGCGGGGAAGTCAGCCTTCCGGGACGGGTTAGCGGTGGAGCTTCGGTCTTGCCTCGTTGTTCGTCCAGTTGCAGGAAATGGCGCAGCGAGGAGAAGAGGGAGCTTTCTTAATGATACAACGTTTCATCGAGCGCGGAGGGAGATCTCCTCGCGTGCGGTAGCCGAGCGTGGAGCTCCGCCCGCCACACGGCGAACTGCAGCGAGGCGAGCGTGTCGGTCTGTCTTGTCTTTCCGAAGCTCGGAAATAGAGGCATAAAGTCGGTCGTGGGATCGGGGGCTGCCGGGGTTCCCGCACGGAGTGTGTAGTGGACTCGCTCGATGCGAGTATGTGCGCGCAGCCCTTGTATGTTAAGTCAGCGGCGCCGTGTTCTTCTTTCGATAGTCCGGATGGGGAAGTTGGCTAAGTGATGTTGGTTTGGCGGCGACTGGGCGGCGAAGCAACGCATGCAACGCTCGCTGGAGTTTCGCGCGTGCGTTCGTAACGAATGGTTAGGTTCGCTTCGAGCTTTCCGTTCGCTGAGGAGGAGTATACAGGAAGGCTTATCAATGACCCTGAGTTGTTTCGGAGATTACTCTTGAGACACGGACGGAACAAAAGGCGATCCAGCATCTCTATGCGCTTAAGTATGCACTCCCTAGTAAGTCTTTCGTCGTTGCAGGATTGTATCCTGGCACACACGTAAACACGCACACACGCGCGCACAGCCACGAGCAGGCATGCACGCGGACGCGCACCTGCACGCACACGTACATGTAAACACGTACGCACACACACAACATAAGTAAAATCAGTGGAAGGCCAAAAATCACGCGACGCCAGTTCCGTGTTAGATAACACCAACGCTTAGATTTCGAATGGGCGCCTGTTACCGTGCGCGGGCTCTTTGTGAGCAGAAGTGTTAGGAAAGAAACTGTTCTTTTACACCCCAAAAAAATCTCGTTTATCTTTCTTTTTTTTTTTTTTTTTAATATTGAGATGCCAGGCTTGTTTCTCTAAATAGGTAGCCCCTCAAATCTCAGTGTCGATGCCGTGAAAATCGGTGTTCCACCGACCGGGCGCACCAGTATGGCGGACCGCGCGAGTGACGTCAGAACACCCCTTCCTCCTCCGTACCAGTCGGGCAGAAGGAGAATCTCTCTCAGGCCCCGCGAAGGGTGCCTGCTTGCTGTCAGGCCTCCGAGCAGCAGCGGCCCGTGTCCACACCAGGGACGCCGCGTGCGTCTCCAAGCATGGCCGACGTGTCTCCTTGCTCCGCTAACTCCGCTACGCCAACGACGCTTTTGTCGGCTTTCTCCGGCTTCTCTCGGCAACGGGAAGACGAGCGGCGCCCTTCTTCTTTGCTAGGAGCGTACACCGTTTTCGGTTTCCGGGTGGCGGCGACAGTACCGCTGCGCTGCCTCCCGAGGAAAAGCCCTTTCTGTCGTCGCGCTGGATCGTGTCGGGCCGCGGGAGTCCGGCCGAGGAAACGGAGAGGCGCGCAGGACCGAGACCGCCTCGTCGGATTGCCATCGGGGAACAAAGACGGACAGAAAGAAAGTGCGCGTGGCTGTCGGGGGGAACATCGGTTCCGAGCAAAGATCGCGCGCACAAAGCGCTGCCTTCCTGGCGTAACCGCTCGAGCCGGCAATTTTCCTGCGTTCTTTGTTATAGCGGCGTTTTACGGAATGGCGGGTTTTAAATTCGTAACAACCGTGGTGGTAGAAGTCGGCTATTATGAGGAAAGAATGGAGGAGAAGCGGACGGAACACAGACGGTGATTCGCAACACAATTTGGGGCTGATTTTAAACTTTTATTTTATTTTTTTTTTTCGTTTGTTGTGCATGCAAGCAGCTTTATATATAGGCTATGTCGCGCATATGAATAAAAAAAAAAAAAAGAATTACAAAAAAAAAGTGAAAACAACGAACGGTCTTAAAGGTGCCCTACGAGGTTTCTGAGTTCGCCTAAATATGGCAGTAAATCACTGTGCGGGCTCTAAGCATCCTAGTGATCCATAAATCATAACGCTGCGCGGCCGAATTCCCTATTAAAAAAGCAATCAAGGGTCGAACAGACCGAGGTCATCACCGGCGATGGGAGGAGAGCACTGTTCCGGCAGCCGGGATGACATGTGACCAATGAAAACGCGACATTTTGTCGAGATTGCAAACGCTGCGATTGCAAAATGTAAATGTTTTTATAGGTGATATGAACAAAGAAGAGTAGTCAAGAAATGTTAATCTTTTTGGCGGAGAAGGAACACAATACTGCAATAATCGTCTAAAAAACAACTCACTGTTTTTTTGTTTTGTTTTTTTTTTCCGCGTGGAGGGGGGGGGGGGGGGGGGGGGGTAATGTGTTTGGACGTCATCTCTCGAGCGCGCGCTCGCTGGTTTGAATCGTAGTCCGGGGCTGTATAGGCAACGAGTTTCACTCATTCGCGATTTCTCCCGTCGAATGCGCGAGGATGCTTCGCTTGCTATTGGCTGACAGTGGTCTGTTACGGAACATGCTCCTTCCATCACCAGAGATGACCTTGGTGTGTTGCGATCTTTGGGTGCTTTTGTTTAAATATGGAAATCGGCCGCGTGTCTCTATGATTTAGGACTTTCTAGGATGCTTAGAGCCAGCAGAGTGAGTTATTATCCCCTTATTTATGTGATATCAGAAACCTCCTCAGGGCATCTGTAAAGGTACGACCTCGTGGTCTAGATTCTTAAAATTCGCGACTTGTGTGGCTATTCGTTTGGCTGACAAACAGAAGATGCCTTTGCAGAAGATGTCTTTTGCACAGCGTGATTAGTTTATCGGACATTTTTGTACCAACGTCTCGTAGACATCCTGTTGAAGAGAATACTTGGGAACGTTTATTCTTCCTTGCCTTTATCACTGAGATCAAATTCGGCGTAAAATAATGCCCTTTTTTAACATTATGATATTTACTTTGCGCTGAACATTCGGTCATTTAGTCCGATGAAAACAGAAATGGGACTTCTATATGTTTCATACGGAGGTTGCTCATTTCGAATAAGTGTTCACCAAACGTTTCATTTGTCAATTTCTAGATAAAACAAAAATAGCCTCCAAATGCTGGAAAGCGCGAGATTCTTTCTTACCCGTGTGCACTTGTGGTGCCCTGAGATGTTCACTCGAAAGTCCAGACGCGCTGGGCTGGCGAACCCGGTTGCAACAAGACGAACCTCCGTCTGTCCGGCGGGCGTGCCTTCCCCCACATTTACGTGCGCATGTTACTGTCGTCGGTGAGTGAAAAGTGCATTCATGTGCATTACTTTATGTTGTCCACACATGGTGCACGCTAGCAGTTTTCTCCTAATGGCCGACGTTTCTTTGATGACACTCGATCTCCCCGTTCGTCATTATTTGACCTACTCTTGCACACTCGAGTTGTGTCCCTGTGTCTCGTTTGGGCGATTGCTCGTTTCGTGTGTCGTCTTGCGAGTGTGTTTCTCACCTGCGTCCCTTTCTCCGGGGCAATCGTAGGCGGTGAAGCTGGAGAGCCAGCACCCGTCTAGCCGGACGCGGTACCTGGTGGTGGTGTCCCGTCCGGGCCCCCAGGGCTCCGAGGAGGCCTGCCTGCTGGGCATCGACTGCAACCACTGCACCACCATCGGTCTAGTCATCCCGGTCTGGGCGGACTCGCGCATCACCCTCGACGGGGACGGGTACGTCTGCCCTCTCTCTCTCTCTCTCTCTCATCTGTTCAGGGAAGTTTGGATGTCGTGTGGACTTGGAGCGTGCACACGCGCGGTCAGAGCTGGGGGACTCGTGCCACAGGCGGGAGAGTAGAAAGACCTCCTTGTCGGTTTTTCAGTTGTTACACTGTCACAAGGATCGAAAGGTGACAGCCTGACGGGCTGTCACACTTTGATTTCCCGACTCGAAGGGACGCCGGAAGACTAAAAAAAAAAAAAAAATTAAGCCTCATTAGAATGACGTGTCGGTCAGTGGCAAACGCGAGCGATTCGTGATGGTTTGGAACGAGGTAGTGCTGGCGAGCGCGCGCGTGTCTGTAGGTTTTGTAACGGGAGATGGAATGGGAAAGAGAGGGCCGATTGTGCGGGCACGGGTCACGATATCGCAGCCTGCAAAGATGCTGATTGGCTGCAAAGCTCGTGCCCGTAGGCCAATGAATACCGTGCTTGGTGCGCCAAGCTGCGTGCGCTAAATGCACCTTGTGCGCGTACACGATTGGCCCTCACTTTTCTCCCCTATTCTCTTGTTACAACGCTTACATATATACACACACGCTCGACGAAGGATAATAAACACGCATTTAACTCCCGTTTTTTTGTTTATCACGGTGAAATTTACTGGAGACGAGTTGAGACGCTGTCTGTGCCCCACCCCCTCCCCCTTTCCTTTCCCCTCTTTTTTTTTTTCTTTACAACTTTATTTTTTTATGTTCCGGTTTTTGGTTTTTCGTCTCATCATGATGAACTTCTATCAGCTTCCCTGCACACTAGGGGCTCTAAACTCGTGAAACACAAAGTTGGGACCAAAGTTCACAGAGCGCACCTATTGTACTATCCCAATGATGAGTTCGCGGTTTTTTTTCACCGGCCTCGAATCGGTGCTTTCCGCGAAATTTCGGCTCAAACTTTGTGTTTGACGAGTTTATGGCCCTAGCTGGCAGTTTCATTCGTTTTGTTGGGCGTGGTGGCTTCTCGTGTGAGAGGTAGGCTGCCGTACAATGCACGCGTGTCCGCGGTGAAGCAACCCTCAGGTGGAGCGGGCGCTCTTCGCTTGTCCGTGATACGTTGTCGCAGCCGCGCACTCTGACGATTTCCACGTATGTCGCCTCTGCTTTAGGTTCCCTTCGAAAACGGCGCTTTTCATTGCGTTAAGCGGTTCTTTGATTCGGGCCGACCGGTCCTGCTTGAAAGTTAAAAGACAAGTCGTCGATGCAAACCGGTTGAACAAGAGTGTCGTTTTGATTCCGGGTTTAGATGTCCCAAGTTCGGATTTCGCCAAGAAGACAAAGCTTGCGTGAAGGCACGTTTAGACATTACCTCACTGAAGATGTTACAGGACATTACATGTTCCCATTAACCGTGCAATAATGTTGTGAAGCGCACGTTTCGAAAGCTTGACTCACTTCGTTGCGGAGTATTTGCGAAAAAGTTCTGCCATAGTTTAAAATGGCGAGACCGGAAAACTGGTATCGAGGGAGGATGGAACAGAAAGAAAGAGGTTATATATCACGCTTTTTTTTTTTTCCGCCCTAAAAGGCCCTGTTTATTTTATCGGTTCTACTTTAATCACATAGACTCGTAGGGTTATCCGTCAGAACCAATACCGTACAATTTCCTTAGCCTACGCCCGCATAAAAAGATGTTGCTTAACGCACTATGACCCGGGTTGCCTTTGCGTCCTAAATGTTTGCATAACCACGTCCGATTCTCTAGAACGCTGTTGCGCATGTTTACTTTTCGCGTCTTTCGCGCAATGGCTCCACGAAAGAGTCTCGGTCCACCGAGTCTCAAGCGAGGGTTGATATTTGGCGCGACTCCACCAGTTCCTGCCGTGAACGCCCCGTCGCGATTTGCTTTACCGTACTTCACCTCCAAGCTGACAGTGCGGCGGGAGCTACTTGCTCGTTGAACCAGTCAACGGCCTTCCTTTCGTCACCCGACTCCGCTCTCTCTGTCTCTCTCTGTGCGCGTGAGTATGGGCGGGCGCGCGATCACGTGGCGATAGATGAACGTCAAGATACAACGAGCAGGGTAGCTTGCACCGCACCGTCGGCTCTGGGGTGACCCAAGTCCCTCGCAGCGAATGTCGCCTTTCGGAGGAACGCCGCGTCGTTTAGGAAGAAAAACGGGGAGGCGGCGTCCTTTCAGTTCGATGACCGCGACGAGCCGGTCGCGAGGCGGCAGGTCGCCCGCACTTCCGCCGAAGGCGCGGTTCACGGACCCCGGTTGTCAACACGAGCGCGGCATTTCCTTCTGGGAAGGTCGAGCCACTTCACACGGCCACGCTGGGATGAGATCACGCCGACTGCCCGTTGCCGCGCTCCGCTGCGTCCTTCAGAGAAGCTGGTGGGGGGTGCGGCTTGCGCCCGACACCCATGGGGGAGTACACATATTTACAGTCGCAGTGATGGAAGTGCTCCGCCCATTTGCGCCAAATTGCGCCATGAACGCAAGCCTGTTATATGTCGTGCCAAAATTGCGCCACAATTGCGCCAGGATAAACTTAAAAAAAAAAAAAAGAGGTGTTTCTTGACAGTGATATGTAAAAACGTGGTGGCGGAGTAAAATGGTAAAAACATGTATTTCACGGCGTGTCTACTCACCCTAGTTAAAATACGTTCGTCTAGCGCGCTGGCCACATAATCGTCCGAACTTCCAGACTATGATGTCGGCGATATAAATAATCTAGAAAAAACAAACGATAGTACGGTGGCTGCTGTGATAACACAAAACCAGGGTCTCATACTCCAGATGAGATAACTTGATTTTCATGTCAGCCACATGCCTGCACGTCGTGGCACTATCCCCAGCTCACAACCTTTACCACGTCGCACTGGCGCGCGTGCGTCGAGCTTCACTGCATCGCACCGGTGCATTAGGAGAAATGGCGTACGCGGGGGAACACCGACGGCTTAGCGCGATGGCTCGGAAATTACGCTCAATACTGTAGATCGATTTTTTTTTATTATTTTATTTACGCCAACCTCTAATTTTAATCCGCTAAACCACAAAAAAAAAAAAAAAAAGAAAACACGAAAAACGCGGACTTATATTTGTTAAAACAGCTAAGGTAGTTCCGGCGCAGTAGTTGATTGAAGAGGCCCTGAACTCCGACTCAACTCTTGCTCCAATGCCTCTACCCCTTGCAGAATAAAAAGTGTTATTAAAAAACACAATCGAGTTAGAGGGGAATTCCAGGGTATTTTTGTCCCGCGATTTTGAATATCACAAACGTGTGCAGCTGTATTGATTGCTCCAGTAAGGGGTGCGGAAATGTTGATTGATATCTCTTTATAATAACTTCACAGTCCTCTCCTCGCACCGAACACACGGGGAAGGGGGGGCTTCAGCGCTATCTTGAATTGGCTGATGTGGCTACTTGGCGCATCATTCTGAAATATAACATTGATATTCATGATCCCGGAGGTGTTCAGATTAGAGCCCCTGGAGAAAGAATGCTTTCGTTCATTATCCGCGTCGTATCTGGCTTATGTGGGTGGAACACTCTTCTAGTCATCGTAGCAGTTGTACCAAGACGGACTTCGAGGTATGTACTCGAGAGGGTGGACGTCTGTAAACGGTGCAACTGCGCTCTTTATCTAATTCCGACGTGGTTGTGGAGGAGCGACCGCGAGGCTCGTCGAGCAGCTCGCGACGCATACAAACGAAAGGCAGATGGCGGTGGTACCCCTTCCCCAACGCGAGCATGGCGTGCAGAGGTGCAACGAGCGACGGGTCGCGTGAAATTGCCAGTGGCTTCGCGGGAAGCAAGAGCCGGTCGCTGCGGTGCTTCCCGATGTGAATTTCGGGTGGTTTCCGGCGTCTGTAGCGGCGTTTGTCCGAGAAAGGCTCTGACGGACCCGGAACCGCGCCGCTTTCGAGGCGGTTTCACGAACACGCGCCATCCGGTACCTTTTGGATTGGGGGCTGGTGGCCTGCACGTGAGCTTAGTCAATCGGTGCCTGCAAATTACGTTTTTTTTTTTTTTTTTTTTTTTATTTTTACCGGACGCATTGAAAGGTTCGCAGTGAGAGTTGCACCACTTACGGCCGAAGTACGACAGAAAGAAGTGTTTTCCGAATTAATTTTTTTTTGCCTCAATTATTTTTACAGACTTCCCGGCGTTGTCCTCACTTGTCTATGTGGAGCCAGTCTGTGGTAATTGCCAATCTGACGGCTATGCTGGTATTCAGCTGAAAAACCGTAGTAGAAAAAAAAAAAAAAAAAAAAAAAAAACGTCTGGCTTCTCGCGGAGCACCTGCCCCTAATGTAGGGAGTTAAAGCGTACGTAGGTACGTTTTAGGTTCGCTATACGTTACGATTTAATCGAGACGCGTACCTTTCAAACGCCAAAATCATCGTCTTTTTTTTTTCCGTCTTTTTTTCCCCGACAACGAAGTCTTGTAAGAGTTGCTTGCGCAGTTCTCACAAGAACTGGCTCGTAAGAGCGTGGACGGGAACAATAGCCCGCACAGCAGAAGGGCCGTGAAAACATGAACCTGCAAGCTGAGGTAGCCAACACAGTCTTGTGGCGTGGGCCTCCCTAACTTCCTCTTCAGCAAACTGTATCTGTTAGTGTAAAAAAAAAAGAGGAGGGACAATTTTAGTTTGTTGAGACTTGAGAGTATACGAGTGCGCCTTCGCTTGTTTGGCGCTATCCACTGGTCACGTGCGTTCGATCGCGCGTTGACGAGCATCGGAGCGGCGTGCGGCACGAGCACCTCTTGTATCCGGGCGCGTGTTTGGAGCCCGAGGTCTTCGACCCGGACACCGCGGCGCCGTTTTTGGAAGCTTGGCCGCTCCGGAGTGCACGCGCGCGCAGTCGCCCTCGTTTGTGTAACAGGCCCCCCAGTATTTACAAACGAGCGAGTGCACGTGGTGTTTGGGCCGCGGTGGGAACAGAGCGCTCGAGTAGTTGCCGCATTTATTTCTGGCGCGGCATTTCCGGAAGAGCGCGCGGGAACTACTCCCCTTCAATGCCGTTTGTCACTCACCCGTGCGCGCTCGCGGCCGTCCCTCGCGTCTCTCGGAGTTCGGGCCTCGCGAAGTGCTTTATGGGTTTCGCCCCGGTTGCGCTGCCAGCTCCGCGGGAACGTTCTCCGCCACCCTCGTTGGTGCTTTTTGGGCTACGATGTTCGGTCGCAGTGTTCAGCGCTGATCACTGATGCGCGTGAGGCTGCGATGTTTCAGCGCCGATCAGTTTCTGTCCTTTTGGTCGTGCGCCGTGACCTCATCTGGTGCTCTACTCCGTTTCACCTCGAGTCCAGACGCAGCCGACACTATTAAAGGAGCTGTGCAACGATATTCAATTGGAATGTTTTTCTCTCTACACGAGCTTACTGGCACACCTGGGACTCAAGGATACTCACACGCAACGCCATTGGCCAAGAAACTTCTTTGTTGCGGTGTAATTTCAAGGACAAAAGCGATCATTTTCATTCAATCTCTCCTTTGCAAATTTTGATGACGTAACTCGGGGATCGCAGTACACCCAAGTGACGATATTTGAATGCGGTTCATAGATTGGACCCGAGCATTGCGTGGGCACTCGACTTGGGCTCGTGACAATTGCTAGCTCGAGAAGCATTCGGGTTGTGACCCGTGTCCAATCGCTGCAACGACGACAACAGTCGAGCCATAACAATGTCTGGAACTCAGCGCGTGTCCTGCGCTTTGCCAACCCCAGCGCGTGGCTATGATCAACACTGGCGGCATATAATCGGCTCCAGATCACGTGGCCGCTTGTTCTGGCTGCGAGTTGAGCGGGTGAACGCTGCTCGTTTTTCTTTAATTTTTTTCTGGGACTTCTATAGCGTGGGGTGAAAAACGAACGCGTGTTTCATAGGTCATTGACGTTAGGGATCCGTTTTAAGCGGTATTTGTGCACAGTACAAAAATTGTTGCATCGCTCCTTTAAGCTGAAGAGGCTAATCAGACAGCGTCGAAAGGACACCACCATGGCGTCATGTTTCTGTGCATGTTCTATCATCGCTGAACCAATCAAGAACAGAAAAGACCCAGTAACTCTTGCTTTTGACATTCCTTGATTGGTCCCATTAGCTCATAGCGTCGCCCGCGTCAGGACTTCACTCTCAGAAAAAAAGGTGTATTATTACACCCCTTGTCCCATATAGTAAACCCCAAAACTAACTTCAATTCGACGTACAGCGCCCCATAATCAAACAGGCGGCCCCAAAGTTTACGAGGGGCTTGTGATAGCCGTGTGGTACAACTTATTAAGATAGCTGATGTACGTGTTATTGACTACAAAAAAAAGATTATCGGAGTTTTCTTGGCCGTACTGCAAAAGCTCCGTGTTTTCTTTCTTTGGTCTTTGATACGTACTTTAGCAATTTAATAAGTTATATCGCACCGTTATCAAGCCCTTGGTAAAATTTGGTGCCGTCTGTTCGACTCTAGGGCGCTGTACGTCGAAATTAAGTTTTGGTGTGTTATATGGGACAAAAGGGTGTAAGGTGATACCCTTTTTTTTAGAGTGTTGAGCTGAAAAGAAGTATAGCTTCCAACCCAGTTGAGCCGTACGTGAGCTTCGCAAATTAGGCTGATCCCGAAGCAGCGCTAGCAGCGTACTTCACCCCACAAGTTTGAGGCTTGGATAAGGTTGTGAAAGTTTCGTACATTGTGCTTTGCCCTACGTTCACCAGACACGTGACTGCAGTTTAAGAGGGGCCTGTGTCGCACCGCTATTATCACAACTTATCAACAAAAGAAAAAAAGGACCTTAAATATTTCTTCTTTTTTTTTGTGGCTTCTTCTTTATACGTATATTGTTATGGCCTTAAAACTTATTACTTTTTTTTTGTTGGGGATAATTGGGGAAAAGGGGGGGGGGGGGGTCTCAACGTTTTCTTTTTTTCTGAAAACGTTCCAGTTTATTATTGCATGCGACAGTATCCTCTTACTTTGTACGGTCCGTCTTGACTAGCCTCACGTGTTTCTCTCAAGATTGTGTGCGTTGCTCCGCTACTAGAGATTACACGGTGTCATCAAATAAGTAGGTCATTCCTGCCTCACTAAGTAAATGGCCTCTAATAAATTTCCTAGTGAGCCGTCACGACCCCAACTCATTGTTTACCAATCCTCTCCTTGGATACGTTCGAACACCTCGCAGTGCTTTCGACCGATCTTAATGGTCATCCGACTACCTTCCCAAGTTCTCTCTTATCGGGTCTGCTCGGAGTAGCTCGAACGTTTTGCCCCCTCAGGCAGGCTGTCTGCGCCTTAGGAAGGAGCGAAACTGAAAATTGGAAACGCGGAGGCATCCAACGGTTGCAACAAATCGCGCAAACAAAAATTGGACTAAGAAAAAGTTTACACACTTTCGTTAAAAGCAGCCGCTATTTAATCTTTTCATGGTAATAAAACCCGAGACTCAGGAACACAGAAGGGGACAAACACAACACAACACAACGTTGTGTTGTGTTCCTCCCCTTCTGTGTTCCTGAGTCTCGGGTTTTATTACCATGAATCATCACCAGCTCGCTTGTTTTTTAAGTATTATTTCATTTAATCTGTCTAGCCTGTCAGAGACAATGCGGCGTGAATCGCACTCTAGCCGACGTACGTGGCAATTGAGTCCGGTGTGCGGCTTCGTTCCGACTCGTGCCTGGCGTCGGTGGCACGCAACCCTTTGGTAACCGGCGTTGGCCCCGGGCCGTCTGGGTGCGGCGCCTTAGCAGGAAGCGGGCATGGTCCAGCGCGCTTCGAGCAGTGGCGAGCGCGCTCCTCTTTTTCCGGTATCATTAGACGCCGACCCCCCGACGGATGTAATTCGTGCGAGAGCTAACGTCTCGGAGGTGCCCGCACGTCTATGGACGGACGCGTCGGTTGGCCGCGGCAGTGACCGTTGCTCACTCCAGATGGCCGGACACTCGGCGAGCTGACCGAACGCCTTGTTGGGATTCGTACTCTCGTTGACCGGACGAGGGCGTGCCGGAGAAAGACGCTCGCGCGAGGAGGGCCCTCGCTGATCGCGGGGAGAAGCTGACCGCGCCAGAGTCTGCCGATGAAGAACAAAGTTCGACTCGACGCTGAACGCGCCACGACGGTTTTAGCTTACCGTTGAAAAAAAATAAATAAGTAAACGAACAAGGGAGGCCGCTAACATGGAAGTACCGTACACTCCGGTGGTATGCAGTTCACCAAGCATAATAGCTAACACTCGCCCCCGCTTTTTTTTTTTTTTTTTTTTTTTAATAGCACGCAGATTAGTTACATTAGAACATGGGTGGGCAAGCTGCGGCTCTTTGCGTGTTAAAGTGCGGCTCGAGGCTTCCCCCTCCCATTTCCCCAAAACGAGAAATGGACCGCGTTGCGGTTTGGTAGTCTCGTGCTACTTCTATTTTACGTAAAGTTGGGCTGCTTTTGACGCGCATAGATTAAAAGTAGTTCGACTTTCGATTACTGCTCTGGACCGAAGGAAGGAACAACTCAAAGCGCTTCGGGCCGGGCATTGGAAGGAGATAGTTGCTGAGTTGTCAAGGAATATAACCCGGGAAAAGTGGCGCGTGGCACTGAGGAGCAGACAACCATAAAAGAAAGTCGGACCTGGCCTTATTACCTAGTCGGTAAATTGATTTTCTGATTTTGCAACAACGGGAACGAGCAATTACTCAGGCGTGCCGGCAGCCCCGTTTCGCCTAATTAATTTCCGAGAAAGAAATCGTCGAGAGGTTAAATATATTTAAACAATATTAGTATTAATGTGACTAGCAGAGAGGATCGCGGTTCTACCTGGGCTGCTGTCTCTTGTTCCCTTTGCATTGGCGCCGTAAGCTTGGTAAGCAGACGCCTATGCGCCGAGAAAGTGAGGGAGAGGAGGAGACGAGAGGGACGTCAGAACGCCCGGGGGGGGGGGGGGGGGGGGGGAGGAGGAGGAGGATACAATTAGTGGGTAGACCTAAAGCCGCCTTTGTCAGCGACGAAGAACAAGTTTTGTCTTGTTTCGAGGGCGACATTCCTTGTCTGCCTTGTTGGTGCAGGCCGGTGTTCCCGAAAGAGAAACCCACGCAAAGATCGCATACTGACTCTACTCCGTTTCATATGAAGTGTGAGCGTAGCAGAATCGACAAGAGCGAGCTCCGGGCTTTCAGCGTCCCTGCCAAGCGCGCACGCGCGAGCCAGCCCAGCCAATCCAGCGTCGTGAATGTGTCACGCGGCTGCGCGCACCGCGTGTCGCCGCGTCCTTTTCAAAGGTCACCTGACACACACCATGGGACTCGTTTCCATGACTCGCAGCGTCCTCAGCTGTCCATCATAAGGCGAAACGGAGTGCAGGAAAGTATTTTTCGAGAAAGAGTCGTCGCGAGGGCTTCCCACATTGTCTTCGGACGCAGCGCGTCTGACGCTGATGCGCTCCGCCGATCCTGCCACGTCCCCCACGCCTTTCTCCGAAAGGACGGACGCCCCGGGATAGAGTCGCCAGAAAAACACAGCCGCGCGCATACGCTTAACCCTGCCATCGTTTATGCCTGCAACTGTCTCCCCTTTCGTTCCGCGCGCATCTACGGTGTCTTCTTTCTTTTGTTTCTCTCTTTGGCGTGTTTTTTTCGTCCGAGCCGCCCCTGTTGGGACTAACGATGCCATTGACTCGTTCGAGATCCTCGGGCACGATACGCTCCCCTAAGCGCCCGTTGTTGTGTCTGGTGTCAAGGTCAGAAACGGCTCTCGCTCGGGCGTCGCTTGCCGTACATTCTTCTCTTATTTTTTCTTCGCTTTCTCTTCGCAGAGGTTTCAGCGTGGCGTCCAGCAGCGGGCATTACATTTTCAAGCCAGTTTCCGTGCAGGCCATGTGGTAAGTACTCGCCTCCAACCCTCTTTTCTTTTTTACTTTTTTTGTAATCATTATTGCCGCAAATTTTTTGTTTATTTGTTTTACGTCAGTTCGACGCTCAACCACTTCTTGCCCTCCGCCTAACCCCTGGATTTATAGACCAGGAATGTAGGTTAGCAACGCTGCGCGGCCAGCTCGTTCGCTGCCGAGACTCCGCTATGCGGGCTCCTTGTGTCGACGTCGTCGGTTTGCCTTGACGGCACCCGGTGGCGCACCGGGGGGATTGGTGCATGACGGCGGGGCTCCATTCACCTCGAAGCAGACAGTACAGTGGAAGGTTCGTGCTCGTTTGACCGGTCGTATACGTCTATCTTTAGTCACGTGATCAGAATCTCACCCATGCCCCCGTGCAGAGAGCGGGGTCGAGTGATGCGAGAAAGCCGGTTGGTTGCTTCGGCGAGCGCGTATCTTCCGCTGCACTCGTGAACGGAGTATGGCCGGGCCGCACGCAACCAACACTCGTTGTTCGGACACGGTTCGGGTGAAGGACGTCCACGCGAGACCCTCCCCGCCCATAGTGTTCCGAAGACCGGTCGGCCCGCCGTGTCGGCAGTAATTGACGTCGTTAATTACTCGGGCGTTTCAAAGTGTATCGAGCTTCGTAGCGTATCAAACGAGCGGCGCTGTGTTGAAATCGGGCGGTGTGTTTCGCGGACGAGATGCTTGGAGTGGAAGATGGATGAGGGCGGTGTCGCAATCTTTACGCGCCGTTAGCGGTGTAAGTTCGCTTCGTGTTGTATGTCTCGCAGACACGTCGTGAAACGCACCACAGCGTTCTCTCGAGTTCTGGATCACGTGCTAGAACTCGTCTACATCATTGTGGCATTTTTTTTAGATCGTTCAGTAATCAGGGATCGTTGAACATTTTGGAATTGAGCCGCCGTATATACCTCATAAATAATCGAGGTTTGACGATAGCTCTGCTCTCTTCATGTCCGGGTCGAAAACGTAGGAGTTGCCTCACGGCTATGCTATCGTTTCGTGCGGAGTTTTACACTCTGTAACTCTAGAGGTTCGTGCGAATGTACCCGAATGACGCTCGTATACGCGAAGTACAAGCCTAAATTGGCTGCTGTGCTTGAGCGGGGCGTTAGTTATATAGTTTGAGCGAGATTTATTAACGAAACACAATACAGTCTTAATATTCATTTCGCGAGCATTAATTTTTTGTACTGAAACTAATTCCCAACTGGCGTTTTTCATTATTTGTCCCGAACCGAAGTAAGCTGCTTTTTGGGGAGCGCCGATTCGGAGGCATCCGATATTGTGGAAACCGAGACGAAACCGATTTTGAAGTTTTTCCGGTCACCGTAACCCAACTCCCCCCCCCCCCCCCCCCCCCCCCCCCCCCCCACCTTTTTTTTTTGCATAGTTGCATAAGCTCGCAGCCCCGTAGGCAAGGTAATTACGTTGCTGTAAGCATGGTGGAACCGCGGTTGTATTTACACGGCGGCTTCTACGTGGGAGCCCACACTAACAGCTCAGTAAGGTACTGCGGTGGGCTAGTTGGTTCATACTTAGTGTTCATACTTCCTGTCGTCTTCTATCTTCTTTCTTCTTCTATCTTCCTGTCGTCTTTGCGCTGTTCAAACACTAACAGCTCAGCCTCGCGGTGGGAATCTACACACTTTACCAATCCTCACCTCTTCCTACTGCCTTGCTGGGCCACAAAGTGCGTTCTGTTGGCTCGACGTTTCGTGTATTTATTACCGTCGTCGCAGGCCTTGGCGCGTTGCCACACGGGTCTTTAGGATACAGCCGAGCATTTAGGATGTCCGTCCTCTCGGCTGGTTCGTAGCCGGTTGTTTCGAAAACTCCGGACGAGGAATGAACAGTTCAAGGTGCACCGAAGCATAGTGTGCGGCGGCGGCGTGACCGGGCATCCGATTTCTCCATCCCTTTGTTTCTCGGCGAGCGCCGTTAATGCGGCAAGCGCCCTTGGCTCCATGACGCCGTCAGTCGGCCCCCTCGTTAGGCCCTGTTCGCGCCTGCTTTGTGAGGGCCTGAGCTGGGGTCCCCCCCGGCTCTGGCCAGCATTCCGTGGAAGACGGACCTGCATGCCTGCGGTTAGCCGTGCATGTGTGTTCAACGCCACCCTTCAACCTCACGCGTTGTTCTCACCGGCAGTCAGTGCTGCGCAAACTTCTTCCGCCGTACTTGGAATGAAAGACTATTCATGCATTTCTGTTCACCCTTGGCCGTGATCGAGATCCCGTGACACGTACCGGCTTAGAAGGAACGCGTTACAGTTGCAGTTTTCAACGTGGTAAACATATAACCTAAAGCTTGCTTAAAAAAAAAAAAAAAGCGAGTGAAATGTTTTTTTTGTGTAGAACAAAAAGTTGAGACTCTGCAACCGTTACAACCTATTACCGTTGACGGCTTTTTTTGCCCACGTTTTGTGTGGTGTCGTTTTATTCCTTTTCGTTTTGACGATATCGTTATCTGACCAGCTCAGCTGGCGTTTGTGATTTCTGTTTGGCGCCGAGGTTTTATTGTTGGATAAGGCGACGTTTCGTGGAAGTGTCAACTGGTCGAGTCGTGGCTTACCTGTCGCCTCGATGCGGAGGCTGAGGTAGGCAGGAGCTCAATTGAGCACGCGATGTCGTGCTTGCGGTCACGCTTGGCCACTTTTAGGGCGTGGCTTCATTGGGGCCAGAAAGTGGCCCCAATTCGCTTTGGCTCTTTAGAAAGTAGGGTGCACGTGCGCTGAAAATCAATTGCCTATTATCTCCGCGTTTACTTCATAGTTTGCGAACAATTTAGCCAACCCGAAAATATGAAATGCTAGCATAAAACTCTTCTGGAGGTACTGTCGCTTATCGAGTCTATTCGCAACTTCTAGTGATGGTGCACCGCGGTGTGAGAGCTCCTGGATGATCGGCATCAGAATAAAGGTGTTGGCTTGCGCATAGCTTCCTGACGTGGAACTGTGATGTAAGGCTCTTGTATCGATCGTATTACACACAATTAGAATTACTTAGGCGTCGCAGACCCTGCCTCGTACTGCTTTCCTACAACAATCATCCAGATGACAGCCATTTATTTTGGAATACACTGTTGGTCGGGCAAAGTTGTCGTCTCGGTAGCTGGCAAAGAACGTCGTGTTTCTTGCGTGGTAAAGGTTTGTGATGACCAGTCCGGTGCTCTGTGCAGAATGTCGAAGTTCCACAACAAACCGTCTTCGATTCACCTGTCACGTGAAAATAACTTGGGAAAACTACACAAACGGATGCACTTGCTCAGTTTCTTGTCTCCAAATCGGGCTCGGAAGGTGTCGAATGCGTCCGAGTATCTGATGGTATAAATAACGTGTATGCAAGCGACTCTAGCTGCAGGTCCAGTGAGAAGAGATCGAAGATGCTGAAACTTGTCTGGCTGACACAGATCGTATTTTGGAACACGTTCAACTTTTTCAATTTCGGCACCACCAATATCCTGCAGAAACTTCCTTGGACTGTGTGTGGTTTCGAAAACTTTAATCTTTCCAAACCGCCAAAACTCAGCAAAAAAGAAAAAAAAAAATATGCGAGGTGCATGTTTGTTAGTTGCACGATCGTCATATCTGCGGCGCTGGATGCTCGCCTGCAAACAGGAGGTTGGTTGACTTCTCGCAGGCAGTCGCAGGCGGGAACGACCATAGCAGTTAGCTGCTCGCTAACACTTTCTTTAACAATAAACTCATCGAGTCTCTGTGTCGAAACGAGCGACTCGGTCCTCGTCGACGAGGTGTCGCGACGGCATCCGCCGGGAATCGATGTGCGGAATGGCCCGCGCTCTTTATAGCGCCTATTATCGTTGTCGGGACTAGTGGTCCTGGGGATGAATCGCACGAGGAAGGAAGAGTCCTTGGACAGGTGTTTTGCCTCGTCTCAGAGGCGTCCGCTCACGCGTCTGTCTGGTTCGGCCGGAAACAGATTCAGCGGCGACCTTTCCTTTCTCTCGGGGGAGTCGCCATTGTCGCGAGTGCTTTGCCATCTACTTTGTTGTGTGCAGCCTGCCACGCTGAGTCAAGACTGGCCTTCAGAGTCGATCGCCGGTGGTGGCGCCAGTGATAGCGCCTCAAGAAAGATTGGACAGAGACGGCGTAGTCTCGAGTTCGCCGTCTGTGTGTCTGTAAAGGAACTTTGAAGGCACAATGGATCTCGAAGGTCTACCCTTTTCAATGTGCGTCCTTCGTTTGGTTCTGCTTCTGCAGTCAATGCTTGCAGTATGAGCTAAGAAGGGGCTACTAAAAATATAATTCCTTTGGAAGTTTGTTTTAAAAGTGACCAAGAAAGGACAGCTTACGCAGCGATCGAGCTGTCTTTACGTGGCGATTCGCAACGTTCTACATCGTGCTATGGGAGCTGAGTGGTATTCAATGCTCGCTTCGCTTGGAACTAGTTGGTACCGGAGAACAATGCGCAATCACGTAGGGTTCGGGTCTTTGCTACTGTTTTCCATCTCGGCAATCACGTCCCGAGTGGCCCCGACTCGTTCTCAGCCGTTGCCAACTGCTACCCAAGAGGATGGCCTCCAACAGGGATGAATACATCCTTCCCCCGCTGGCGGGCTTTCAAGAAGAGCCATGCTGCAACGAGACGGGAAATCGCACTCGTTCAAGTCCAATCTGGCACCTTCATTTCATTCATTCGTTCTTCTGTTCATTGTGCCCGACAACAACTGACGCACTGTCGATGGTCCGAAGAGAGTCTTGCGGTGGTCCAGGGAAGCTCTTGCGGACAAAGGGGAAAGGGAGATTCTGTTCATTGTGCCCGACAACAACAGACGCCCTTTCGATGGTCCAGAGAAGCTCTTGGGAAGCAACGCTTCTCCTCGAGATCCTGCGGATTCGCCACCACTCACATTGTCATTGCCGAGACTCAAAGCCAGTCTATTGTTAGCATGATGTCTTTTGTCTTTGTCAGCAAGTTGTCACGTTAAGAGAGGAAACACTATAGGGAAATTATACAACGCGA